TGTAGTATGCTATTATTTAATAATGGAGGGATATGAATATAAGAGTTTGTGTGTATTATTTGTTTATATTTAATGACAAGTGTGTAAATCACAAAATATGGTTACTTATAAGAGCAGGAAGGAAATAAGGCAGAGGTGATGATAAAACATTAAATTTCTTAAAATATATCTTTAGATATAGAGTTGAATTTGAACCATGTAAATATATTAAGTGGTTATAAAATACAATTTTAAAGAGTAATTCTTAAAACTCAGAAGTAAAATAAATGATCCCAATTGTATATCTCATTGGTGGCATAAAAACACAAAATAACTATTCTAATGACTTTAAAACATAGTAACTTCAGCATACACCTTTAGTGAAATTTTAAGGAGAACCACGCAAAAAATTAAAATTTTTTCAGAAATTATATGTTGGTAATGATTCAAAGTTATTCTGAGATAGACGTGTACTGACTGTGAGACAAATCAAATGTGTGTTAGGATAGTGTCTTCAGAACTGAGGTTCTGGCATGTTTGGGAGGAGGTGAACTATAAACCCTATAGTTCCTCATTGGATTGCAAGTGTCAGGATTAGCTCATAAGTCTTTTTTATAGCAACAACAACAAAAAAACTTTCCTAATTTTGCGTACTGAGAAGACTAGGAAAAAGATGACAATGCAGTAGCAAATAGTGGCTTTAGATTCCACTTGTGATCTCTAAATATATACATACTACTTCACACCAAAAGGAATTTAGATTCTTTGGAGAAGTGACCAACTTTTCATATAGGAAAAGAAAAGAAACCATGGAAACTCTTATAACAAAAAGAAACTAATTTATTCAAAAAAATTTGTCACAGAAATAAAATAGAAGGTACTATAGATTAAATGATACTTGAAAGACATATTAACCAATGACAATACATGGATCTTATGTGGTTTAACTTATTTAGTGTGCTTGACTTAAACAAATTTTATATATATATATATATATATATATATATATATATATATATATATACACAATTTTTTAAATTAGTTTTGGAGTTATTGCTACTGCCCTCCCCATTTTTTTTACCAATTTAATGATTTTTTGTATAATCAGTGAAACAAATTATATTTTTAAAGAAGGTTATTAAACAGGAAAATATGAAAATAGCTGGATATATAATACTAAGAAATTATCAATTTTTAAGCATGATAATGCAATTGTGGTTACATACTTATAAGTAATTTTTATTTATCTCTTTATTTTCAGAGAGGTGGGAAGGGAGGGAGAAAGATAGAGAAATATGGATTGGTTGCCTCTTGTACACATTCTGACTGGGGACTGAACTCACAACCTAGGCACGTGCCCTTAGCTCTTACTGGGAATTGAACCAGCAACTCTGCTTTGTGGGATGACACCCAACCAACCAAAGCACACCGGTCAAGACTGTTGGTATGCATTTTTGAAGACTCCTTAACTTAAGGAGATGTATAGAAATATTTAAAAATAAAATGTTTTGACATCTTGAAATATGCTTCCAAAAAGAGAGTATGGAGTGTATACTTAATAGATGAAATAAGACTGGCTGTATTTTTACATTTGTTAAAGCTGGAAGATGCTTATAGTGAGTTTACCATATGACTCACTTCTGCACATTTGAAGTTTTCTAAAAAACTCAAACTCTATTTACCATAGGCACTCCATCACTATTTCCACTGATGTCTACTTGGCGTCTTACCGAGCATCATGACATCCCAAGCAGTTCTCTAGCTCTAGTATATTGATGTAAAATGCCCTAGTTGTTTCAAAATCTCCATTTATCCTGGTAGGTTCAATTTGTTGGCTTGTTTCCTTACCTATTCCTTTCATAGAAGAAAATGTAAACTCACCGAACTGTTGCGGCACTCTCTCTTCTTCACAGCACTCTTTCCTCCCCCTCACCTTTCAAGCTCTTGCCCTCAACTCAAGAAAATTCACCTTATCTTTGTATCTTAGCCTCTCAACCTCTTATGAAGGTACATATTATTGTATGAAAGGTAAATCACTTAACATTTTAGGAAACGATATCTTGTGTTTCTATTTTCACACTGAAAACTTTCATCCCATTTACAACCATCAGAGTAGCCCAACAAACTAATTCTGGCTTGGTAAAGGACTTGATAAATTTTTTAGATACTAATAGCAATTATTTTTTTTTAAGTAGTAACTAATATCTATTGAGTACTAACCATTATGCCCTTATCTCATTTGCTTCCTCTAATTTTATTATATAAATTCTATCACTATATGTTTGCTATTTTTCTATTTACTATCTCCTCTAGCATCATATTTACATATCATTATTGCTTTCAACCAACAGATTATTATTTTTTGCCTTTGTTTGAACATAGTTCTTATTTGGAAGAAGGTATTATAAAAGCTCAGCTTAGTTCCTATCTTCCTCTCTTAAAGCCAGTGATTTCAAAGGAGGTCTATGTTCCACTACATGTTGAGGAACTCTCCCTGAAGCCAAACTCTATTCAGCTTATTTTAATGGTTTATTCTGGGGCAGTGTATTTGGAAGCCCATTAGTAGCAGATCTAAATCCACATCTCTAACTTAGTTATTATCAATAACAAAGCTGACAAATTAGCTACATTTCTCTGATGCATCTTCTGTTCTGTTCAATGGGTTCTAATTTTCCTGGGAAAGAGAGCTCTTTTAAATCTCACCAATTTCTGTTAAGTGTTGAAAGGTAAGGTAACTTGCCCAAGTTAAAAACCTAGAACATGGTATGGCCTAACTAGACTAGATACAACCTACTGACTGCAGAGATCCTGCTCCTCCTCACACCCCTACACCGAGAGTCTCTCTGTCTTGTTTGCTATCCCTTTGTCTACTGTATCACTGGGTTGTTCAAGATATTGGGAATGATGGTTTACTGAAGGTTTCTTAACATTGCATACTTTTAACCCAAATGCGTCTGTTAGGAATTTGAATATTATGATGGATCATACATGATCATTATGTTTTAACACGAAGGAAGGGTATTGTGATATATTCTGTATTTTGATTTTATAACCTGTAAATATACATTAAAATTAGAAAAACAATTCTGTTATACACTGCTATAGACTGAATGTGTCCCCCCACCCCATTCACATGGGAGTACTTTGTCGGAGGTGGGGGGGACTTTAGAATGTGGTCACAAGGGTGGAAGGTCACAAATGGGTTTAGTGACCTTATAAAAGAGGTCCTGGAAAGAACCCTCGACTCTTCCACCCTGTGAGGACACAGCTCCAAGGTGGGCTCTTATGAATGAGGCAGAGGGCTCTCACCAGACACAGAAAGTGCCAGCGCCTTGATCTTGGACGTCCCAGCCTCCAGAATGTGAGAAATAAATGCTTGCTTTTAAGTCAGCCTGTCTATGGTATTCCACTAGAGCAGTCTGAAAGGATTAAGAGAAGCATCTTACTATATTGGAATATACATTCATTAGTGTTGGTAAAAGAATAATTGCATTGTATTGTGATGTGTGAATATGTGATATTACTTTCAACTAAATAGAAGAAATGGGGAAGAAATCTCATTACCTCATGATATATATTATTTTATTAATGATGTATTTATACAGAAGTAAGGTACAAAAAATATCCTGACTAAACTCTTATTTAAACTTCATCTATAGTTAAACTGTATTGTTTTGATGAAAATTTAGGGGATTATATCCTAACTGACTAACCTATATGAATGGATTTATTCTAAAGGTAAAGTGTCAATCACTGATAAGCTTGTCAGTCAAAGAATAAACAGAGAACAAGTCTCTTTTACTCTAAAATTCAGTTTTGAGTCTTGCAATATTTTTCTTAGGACCACAAATTTGGCATTAATTTCAAGTGTTAAAATAAGTTACCAATTATAAAAATCTCCAGATCACTTTACCTTGAAAATAATATTTATTGAAAGTAATACCCTATAAAAATTAAGTCATAATCTAGATGTGACAAATAAAGTTCACCTGCTTTCAGTCTAAACAATTATGAAAATGCCAACTGAAATAAATAGAAATTTGGTCTACAACATTGTTCAATATCAGATAATGATTCTGTAAAATAAACAATTAGAATCTTACATTAGAAATAAAGTAAGTGTGCCCTGGCTGGTGTGGCTCTGTGGATGGAGCGCTGGCCTGTGAACCAAAAGGTCATCTGTTTGATTCCCAGTCAGGGCACATGCCTGGGTTACAGGCCAGGTCTCTGGTAGGGGGCGTGTGAGAGGCAACCACACATTGATGTTTCTCTCCCTCTCTGTCTCCCTCTCTTCCCGTATGTCTAAAAATAAATAAATAAAATCTTAAAAAAAAGAAATAAATGTTTTCCTTTATATTTGAGATTTTCCTGAGTTTAAATAAAAATAAAAAAAGTCATTTAAAAGTCTTTTCAAGCATTTTTGAATTTCAATATTCAAAAGTTAAGAAACTTTTTAAAAACTTCAAACTAAGTTTCCAACTTTCTGATATCCTGTTTGACAGTTGAATTATTCCTGAAATTATTCCTGAAATAACAAAGTACTTACATATTGTTAAAGTATAATACAGGAAAAGGCAGATCCTGTCTTTGCCTTGAACTAGATAAAATATGTAGTTTTCCATTTGCAATAGAAAATAGAAAATTTACTTGAGAAGTCAGCAGTAAAAATGAAAGTTTATGTCAAAAGTTGCAACTTCTCAGGTTTTTTTTTTTTTTTTTTTTTGCTAGTCACAGTTCGCTGAATATAAAATGCATTTGGAAATAAGGGAGATTTTATTAGGTTGACACCAGTAACCAACTCATCTTCTAGTACCCCTCTAATTTTAGATTCAGAATGAAGCTTTAGGAAAAAAAGCCATTTTGACAATTTTGCAGATTTACCTCCATATGGAGCCCATTAATGATAGTATTTTTTTATCCTACATAATATTCTTCAGGTCATGGTGTTACTTCAGAGTCCCATTTCTACGGAGCTCCCAAGCTCTGTCAGCCATGGGAGGGTACCATAAGGAGTCTGTGACTGGGAAGAGGATCCTTTCCTGACCATGCTGGTACCCTGATCTGGAACTAGCACCTTTCCAGGCTGTAAAAAAGTACATTGCTGGTGTTTATAAGCTACTCAGTCTGTGCTATTTTGTTACAGAGGCCTGAACAGAATGATAGAAAATTGGTACCAAGGGTTTGAGGTGCTGCTGTAACAAATACCCAAAAATGGTGAAGTAGTTTTGAATTTGCTAAAAGGTAGAGACTGGAAGTGTTTTGAGGTGTATGCATGCCAGGAAAAGTCTACATTGCTGTGTATGAAGCATTAAAAGCAATTCTGGTAAGAGCTTTGAAAGAGAAGAGGAAAGCTGTAGAGAGAACCTCCGTCTTCTTAGAGGATACCTACATGGTTGTGAACAGAATGTCAGTAGATATATGAGCAGTAAAGGCCATTCTGATCAAGTATCAGATGGAAATGAGGAATATGTTATTGGACAATGGAGAAGAGGCCATCCTTGTTATGGAATGGCCAAGAATGTGGCTAAATTGTGCTGTGTCTTAGTGTTTCATGAAATATAGAACTTGTGAAAATGAAATTGGATATATGGCAGAAGCTATTTTTTCTTTATAACTTTATTTTTTATGGACTTAATAAAAATCCTATGTATTTAAGTTGTACAACATGAAGAGTTGAATATATATAAATATTCATTATATATATATGTATATATAGTGAAACGATTACTACAGTCAAGCTAATTAACATACCTCACATAGCTGAAGTTCTTTCTAAGCAAAATACTGAAGGTTTGGTGTGGCTTCTCTTGAATGCTTACAGTTAAAATGAGAGATGAAAAGAAATGACTTAAAGATGGAAGCAGAACTTAAAAATCTAGAAAATTCTCAGCCTATCCACAATGCAAAAAATAAGAAAGCATGTTTGGAAGAGAACACTAATGGTGCGACCAAAGGACATTTTAATAAGGAGATTCATGAGATGTGAGCTCAGGACTTAACTGGTACTCCAGAAAAAAAACAGCCAATGTGAACTGAAGGGGAAAGATACAGAAAGGAATAAGAGAAGTTTGTGTTAGATTTTACAGGATAGGACCATAGTGTTACTGACTGTGACCATGCGGTATTCTTCAAGACAATGTCAGAAGGACTCCAAAGGGGACTCAGAGATCATTAGGATTGCCTCTGGTTTCAAGAGGGAAGCTGTCACCTGGGTTTCAGTAGGCCAGATGACTCTGGCTCAGAGCTATGGGGATAACGCTGCCCAAGGCTTTACTGGGGACAACTGCCCCGCAAAGCATGGGGCCACAGCTACCTCCACCATGGAGCCTCCCCAAGCTGCGGGTCTGCAACCCCAGACTGGTCCAACCACCTGCCTATGGTTTTATCCCGGAGGAGCTGCAGGCAAGCAACTTCCACCCTTGAACTCTGACACAGGGGCTGTGCTCAGCAAAGCGATGCGGTCAGGACTGCTCAGGGGCTCTTGAGGTTTTGGATGTGCTCATCTGTTACTCTTCTTTCGCTATGTTTCCCTTTAGAATGGGAATGCCTATGCTGTGCCTGTCCCACCGTTGTACTTTGCCAGCACATAACATGTTTGGTTTTTCAAGTTCGCAGCTGGAGAGCAATTTGCCCTAAGATGAATTGTCTCTCCCATATCTGATTTAGATGGTATTTAGATGAGACTTTGGATTTAGGCTTTTGAGTTGATACTGGAACAAGTTAAGACTTTCGGGACTATTGGGATGGAATGAATGTATTTAGGATACAAGAATGACATGACTTTTGGGTGATCAGGTGTGGAATGCTATGGTCAAAATCTTTGTATTTCCCCCCAAATTCATATGTTTGAAAACCTTATTCCAATGTGAGAGTAAGGAGGTGGGGCTTTTGGAAGGTGGTCCTTCTCCTTTGGGAAGGTTGAGCCCTCACGAATAGGATTAGCACTTTTATAAAAAGACTCCAGAGTTCCCTAGCCCTTTCTACCATGTGAGGATACAAGAAAATCTGTGCTCAGAATAGGGCTCTCCCCAAACCATATTTGCACCCTGGTCTCAGAATTCCTGCTTCCAGAACTGTGAGAAATAAATCTCTGTTGTTATAAGCTGCCCACTCTGTGGCATTCTGTCTGAGCAGCCCTAACAGATTAAGACACTTGCTGACTCACTTTTTAAGCTACTGTTTTTGTATCCAAATGGAGAAACGGGAGCAGAATCATAGTTATTTTAAGAACAAAGGTTTTTGTCTTTTGTGAAAATATCATTTTATTATTAATTTTATAATCCTGTCTACTCCAATCTTCTCTGCTTATTCAACTCCGTGCAGAATTTTTAATTTCTAGTAATTCACACAGTGCAGCCTAATGGTTATTACTCAGGTTCTACAGAAAAACTTCTCTAAAATTTATTCTACCAATATTTACTTAGAATTAGATCCATTAAAAACTGTGCTATGGGCTATAGATGGATGGGAAAGTCATACTTTTTGCCCTAAGTGGCTTCTAGTGCAGGCCAGAGGATAAGTCCGCAAACAAATATTTATAATATAATGTGACCGGGTGCTTCACGAAGATAGGGACTCAGCCTGACCTCCTCCCTGCTTAGAATAGATGTGATAATATTATGGTGGTGGTGTAATTGATGGAAGTGGAGTTCTTGTGGTGGTGTGAGGAAAAGAATTTCCTGACACCTGCATGGGGATCCATGGTAAACTTTATTGATGATGTAAAATTAAGGTGGTTTCCCTCGTGACTTCCCAATGTCCCATCTCCACCCATCTCACCATGGAAAAGGTCCAATTTTGTCTTCAGTAGGGCCAGAATAAAGGCCACTGCCCAGAGTTTCTGCTTAATATTACAGTCCTGTCCAGTACCCAGCAGCTTAGCATGTGCTTCCATCTGCAGTCCATTGCTGTGCCATGGTATTCGGGCTCCATCCAGAAGCCTGCCTGTGGAGTCCGCACAGCTGTGGGCCCTGTGGCTGCTAGTGTCACATGGCCATGGAGAGAACAGGCAAATGTACCGTGTGAGCACCGGTCACTGGGTCAGCAAGGCGGGGCAGAGTGCTGCTTTGTTTCCCTGGGATTATGCATCTCAGGCTTGCAACAGATCAGAAGCTTTTTAAAAATGACCAATCAACTTCCCAAGTTTTCGCAGGCTTTTGATAGGTCCACCTTCTAGTTAGAATGACAGGCTTCCAACACCTTCCCCTGTGCGCCACCCACAGCAATTCAGTAGTGGTCAGGGGAATGTTAATCCTGTTGAAGGAGCAACACTGTAATTCCCTGGAGTGTAAAGTTGCAGCTTTCTAGTGAAGCAAAGAGAGTCATGCTCCCCATTTTATTAAATTCTAATTCTCTTTGATAACCTTAGCCAAATACCTATGGTAACAAAACTTGGTCTAAGCAATGCTCTGTACAACTCAGTGGGAAATGGAAAATTTTATGAGATTTGAACTTTATACTTTATCTGAGTCCTGTGCAAATCCTCTGAGTTCTGTGCCTTTTAAAACATTTTTTAAAAAATTTCTTTCTCCATGAACACCTTTGCATCTTTTAGAATAGGCATTTGAAATTCCTAAGCATAAGAAGAAATATGATCAATTTAAGCAAACTTCCTGTCACATGGTTGAAACAGACCTGGAGTGATTTCAAGGGAATGACAAAAATCTCAAACAAACGAAAAAACGAACTTTTCCCTTTTGGCTTACTGATGCCAGAAATCCCACTGTCTGAGATTCATTCTTTGGATGAAGGCTTTTAGCTGCTTGGAAGTATAAATACCCTCAGGAGAGGAAACATAAATTATCAAACATTTAACAACAGGCTATAATTGCTTTGATCAGATTCTTTCCTAAAAACATGACTTGATGGGAAGCAGCTAGTGAAAGTGTAGGGACTTGGGAGACACCACTACTGGGCAGAACGGGCAAAGGCAGATACAGGGTGCCCACGGCTGTCAGGTGGGAAGCTGTCCCTGCCAAGTGGGTTTCCTGTTTCCTGCAATCCAGCTTTTCCAGCCTGATGGGACAAGGGTAACATCTGTGCTGGGAACTGCTGGGGTCCCACAGGTGCAGAAAATCTAGTTTATCAGAAGTGAATTTGTAAATACAGAGGAAAGCAGCTAGCACTTTGAGCCACCAGAGATTAGAGTCAGTGATGAAACTGGCAAAGGCTTGCCTGAACACTGCTTTTATTGGTGGCACAAAATAGTCATTTGAACCAGATTAAGAGCACAGGGTGCCTACCCAAAATGACCAACATAATATAGTTTCATTTATATTAGGTTTGCTGATACGTCTGAAAACAAGAAGTCTAATATATAAGGTATTAGATATATGGTAACAATCTCCTGATTTATTTGAGTGAACACTGGCAAGGATGGATGGAAGCAAATAGATTCAGTCAATGCCAAATACAAACAACCACATACTTTTTCTTTTCTCCTGAAAAACAGGAATTAAATCAAACTTTAATAAAAACAGAGACCCTTATTTTAAAATAAATGTCACAGTGATTAGTTCAGCAAAGCCACAAGACACTTATTACCACAAGTACCATCACCACTATTTGCTATTCCTTTTTGTTAACTTTAAATTTTTTACTTTATATTTTTATATAGGGCATGCATGCTCTAATCTTATATGCTACATATTGATTCTGTAGGTGGGCGAATGAAAGCAAAGACAGAAGCTTGATTTCACAGTTTGGTTCCTTATAAAGCCTAAAGAGAGCTTTAAACTAGGTGCTTTCTTTCAGCTTTAATTGTCCATAACGCATAATTTAAGCATCTTGTAAAAATAGTCATGATTTTCTCATCTTCGTGTTCCACCTACATTTTCCCCTCTTCATGCAGCTTTCTATTTTTTGCCTTAATTTGAGATATACTAATATGAAATTCATGTTCTCAAATTTCCCAGTAAACTGCCTTTATATACCATACAGATGATTCTGGAACACTCTGAGAAATCTGTAATGTGTCATTAAAGGTAGTACCACTTTTATCACTAAATCCATTAAAATAATGATATGTATGCATA